AGGTTCTGGCCAACTCCATTCTCAGAGATCCAAGCTGCCACGCATCCACAAGTATATGTGCTTCAGCCACTACTGTGTGAACCCAGTCTGTGCAACTACGTGCTCACCCATAGTCATCTGTACATACAGGGCTATGCCTCCAGGAATAGAATGACCTTGAGAGTTTAAGTGCCCAAAATGTCCTGTGGACAACCAAAAATGGCCACTTGGATGACCAGGAAAGAATAAACTGTCACCTTCTGAATTTTAGGTGCCTGAACCACACTGCATATCTATTTCAGATTGCAAACCTATGGAAACGGAACTATATATATTTTCCTTTCTTCCTACTGTGCACCAAATGCACTGCTAGCAGTCACTAAGCAGCATATAAATAGTATCACTCCCTAGGGCAGTGGGGTATGTTTAGGCTATGGTGAGACTAGAAGGAACTTATTATGCAAAAAACACCTGACAGGGGTATAGAGCTATGGCTGTTGTATAGGCAATCTATTCAGACCTTGGAAGATGAATATTCTTGCCTTGCTCTATATATATATGCTATGTATCTGACTGTCCTTGGTATGTATAGGTATACTTTGGCAAAAAGCAACCTGGAAATCCTGCTGCTATAAAATCCTGGCTCCCCAAAAAGGAATATGGATGAACTCTGGGAACCTGCAAAAACACTGAAATGCTGTAAACCCCTTAAGCAATGATTACATTCTAGCTCTGTTACCAAGAGCAGACAAGTGCCCTAATTGCATGGGTCAGGTATGAACAGTAATCATATTGTCAGCATGTCTGCATGACAGGAAGCCTTTTGCAATCTTTAAATAGAATGAGTATTTAACAGCATAACATTTGGGCAGTTTGGACAATATGGCCTCCAAAAAGACTGCTTTCATTAACTGTGATCCAAGTGACAGCTCTAAAAAAGGATTTGTAGGTATCTCCTATGAAAAGAAACTTCAAGAAGTCAAAAGCATATGATGTGTTACAAGGCCAAATCAGGCTGAATGAGGTTTAGTGAAGCGAACAACTTATTTATGCAGGTCCTTTGCACAGCATTAACTAGGAGTCTGTGGCATTTATTACATTTCCATAGTCATCTGCATAACACCTGGGTGTAAAATTTTGCAAAAAACCCTAATAAAGCACTTAATATGGTACAAACTTCCTGCTGAATTTCAAATGCTCCTGAAAATACAATACAATACTGTCAGGCCGTTGCACAGCAAAAGTACAATAAATTGTGATTGAAAATACCTAGAGAAAATGCTTTGTTAATCCTATCAGCCTTAAATTTTTCCTGGAATGTACAGTTGATGTTCCTTGTTAGAATTGTGTTATCATCAGATAATTTCTCCATAAAGCCACTTATCTACATTTATTAGCACATATTTCTTCTCAGCACCTTCTTAGAACTACCAGTACCAGGTTTCGGAGCACATGATGACTGGTCTGAACAAAGCAATGAAGTAAAACTTTGGGATTTATTCCTGACTCTACTGACTCACTGTTTTTGGGAAAGTGACTTAGTGCTCCATTTATGTGATGGAAATTATTATAACACTACCCTGGTTAAAAGAGTACTTCACTAGAAGTCCAAACTGATCATTTCCTTCTCCATCTGCTTTTTTGTAATAAAACTTACCTGTTATTATAAAACACTGTGATTCTTGGCACTCAGACTATTCTTAATAAATTATTTTAATCAGACCCGTGTGTATTTCTTTTCCACTGCTTGCCCTTCGTTATTGGTATGTATTTCACAGGTACAAAAGGAAATTCAGAGAAATTTAGCTGATATTTTCCCTTTTACAAATGCAAATTATCAGCCCTCTTATATACTAACTTCATTAAAATGTTGTTCCCACAGAGAATACTAAACTATATATCAGTTTTCTGACAAGGACAAAATAGCCCTATTCATCTTCTGCTGTGCACTTCTTAAGATCAGCTTATTCTTCTTGGGCCATTTGTTTTCTGGTTTCTGTTCCAACAATATCCGTTACAAGAGCCTCCTGAGGAAAATGCATCTCATCTTAATATACATGCTAAGCATAATTACTGACTGAGTATAATTCCTGTCTGGAACTGGTTGAGAATTTCTGCTGATATAGTTTTTGGTTGGAAAATGCCCAGTTGTCCAAAACTAGGTATTTTGGAGAACCATTGGGTTGTGCTTTGATAAACTGCCAATGGCAGGATTCCACGAGAATCTGGTGAGCTGCGAGGAAACCTGGACTTCCAGAAACTACGGGTACGGGCACTCCTCCATGCAGACTCCCTCAGACCTGAGGACCTCAAGGCTTTCAAGCTGGCTGTCACAGAACCAGGAGCTTTGAAAACCTTAGCAGGCTTGGTTCTAGCGAGGGCTCTCAGGGTCTAGGCTCCCAGCTCTGCAAAAGGAAGTCTGGGAAAGCTCCAGGAGTCCTAACTTGAGCAGGGGTTTTCAGAGCATCTGGGCTTGCTGCTGGGTTGGAGCAGCCCAGGGGTTTCCTAGGCAGGTAGTGGGGAAGGCTGAGAAGTTCCCCCACTTCCCCAGAACAGGGAAGCCAGCTGCTCCATTTCAGCTAGACAAATCAAATGGAAACATTTTTCTAAAGGATAATTTTGCAGAATTTCTAGTTTCAAAAATTTCATTTTTCATCCGTTTCAGAAACGGCACTTTTTCGACATGGTAGAGTTTCCCCGCAGTAGTAAGGCAGAGCTCCAGCCACCCCTCCCTGAAATCCTACTCCATTTGGCTATGGCAGGGGAGAAGTGGTAAAAGGAGCTTTCTTCTCCCCTCTCCTCATTCCCCTCCTCTCCCTCAGTCCTCAGGACACTCCTGTCTTGGGTCTGGTTTCCAACGGCCCTAAGAGGCTTTTCAAACAGCTCAGAATAGTTGGACAGCATTGCTGCCCTGGGAGGCCTCCAGGATCCCAGGTAAAGCTGCTGGGTCTAGCACAGGTGCTGGCCCCAGCCTTGCCCACCCCACCAGGGACAATTTGACATGCACTACGGTTCACGTGCAGGGGTGTGCCCAGGGCACAAATGTGTCCCGTTGCTTTTTGTACCCCTGGAAACACATGCCTCTGCATGTGGGGACACGCCCATTGGTTTTACAGTCCTTCAAGCTAGTAGAGCTAGCATAAAGGGGCCATAGTGCACCCATGAATCAGCCCCATTGACTGTTTCTCAGCTGCCTGCATGTGCTGTTGAGTACAGAGCCCATTCAGTCAGAGAGCATTCATTTCCTGACTAGTTTTTAATTAGGCAAAACTCCAGCAAGATATTGCCAGTTTAAGAGCTTCAAGGTTTAGCCCAAGCAATCCCGTCACCAGGGAGAATACAGCTAGTCAGACATCCATCAAGCTCCTCTGGTCCAAAAACCTTAAAACCTGGTGCCAGATGCTGACCTACCTCACAGGTATCCACACTGCGGAAGTACAAGACAGGATTCCACAGGTCTGGAGGAGGAGATCGCTGAGATGAGAGCATGCTCGATGGGCCTTCAGAGCCTCCAGCCTGTTCCCAATGTAAGGGCAATAGAGGGTATAATGGAGAGGGGAGGGGCTTTTTCACAGTTTATAGTTGTGTTTGGCTTTTCATAGCTTGTAAGTGAAGTAACATTCATGATATGCTGGAAAGGGTGATGTTGGAGGAAAGCAGAAAAAAAGTGCCTATCAGTAGGAGTCAAAAACACTTCCAGCATCTTTGGAGTCATTCCATTTGAACTCTGACAAACTAGGGTTTCTTTTTGCTTAGTTAGTTCTTGTGTATACAGGCAGTGGAAAGAGGTCATAAATACAAAAAAAGAGACATGCCTGAACATTTACTTGATTCCTAATATCAATCAGACCTCTGCATCTCCCATGCTGCATCTTTATTTTCCTACTGTTCAAATGTAAATGGAAACAGGTCTCATTGTTTTGACTTCCTCTGTCTATTGGTAGATAAAAACTGATTCTTCAACCTTCAAATCATGGTGATACCTGATGATGAACACTGATGACCAGTGTCAGCTCTCATAATAAATGGAAATAAAAATAAAATGCATTCAGAGTACTGATCAGGCGATTGGATTATGCCAAACACACGTAGCAATGTCCTTTATGTTTGCTGGCAGTAAACTGACGTTTTTTCTTCTTTCTGTTTTGCACAGTCTTACTAAGCCAATCCTCACTAGAATGAGCACAAAACAAAATGAGTAACAGCTTTTGTACATCAACATTAAATGGAAGAAGCTTGGGAAGGAACCTCCAATGGAGAAGAATGTTGACAAGTGCAAAAACGTCTGATTGGTAAGAGCTGCCTTCTAAATGTAGATCAGCCAGACCTGGAAGTGATTTTCTGAAGAGAGATGCAATCATGGATTACACACCAGCTCATTAGAATCTGTCACTGAATCCAACATTCAGAAGACATGCATGAAAAGTCACATTTGGGAAATAAATTAAAAGGGATTTAGTCGTTGCTAGGTAAACACATGTAATATATATGCATTGAAAAGGTTTGTAAACTGTCATTTTTTTATTCAAATGAAAAGCAAAAAGCTTTAAAACCTTTCACAGTAGAGAAGCAGTTAACTTAAGGCTATTCCTGTTCTAGTAGCTGGGAAACTGATAGGATATCACTCTAAAATAAGCATTTATAAATAGACTCTCTGAATGTTTCCATCACCTAGAGGAAAAAGCACATCTTTTACTACAGTATTTCTGCTTTTCATTTATCTCACTGTATAATAAGTTGGTTAAAATGTAAAGCTTCTCAATTTTTACTGCATATGTGTTCTGTTTAATCTGTCTGTAACAAATTTACAACTGAAAAATTATTTCTGACATATATTATAGTTCTCTTAAGACATATATAGTATAAGATACATCTTTCTGAATATCACAAACATAATTTCCTAAGCAGCATAGAATTATTTATATTTAAAGTGGCAAAATAAAATCATCTATTTAAAAAAGGCTAAATTGACACCTTAACCATAGTAGTATACAGCTGCTGTAAAACACTATTCTATCTTTCTCCTGTTTTGTGCTATGGATTCTACAGCTTGTGTTATTTGGAAGGTCACACTAGAATATAATGGCCTTAAGCCCTATAAATCTATTAATATGAATAGTAAAAAATATATACTTTACTAATAATTATGTAAAGTCTCTCTGAGTCAGATTCAGTGATGCTCCCTGGCTGCTCTGTGTAGCCAAGGCAGCTGGAGTACAGCCATGACTCTGGCTCTCCAATGTTGGTTTGTTCATGTGGTGTGAGAGGCATATTCCCACAGAGGTGTTCTGACTTCAGTGCAACATTTCTTTGCTGTTTATATGGTTCCTACCCACTCAAACACATTTTGGAAAGCAATTAAATGATAAGACCAATCTGAGGCGTGGAAAATATTCAGATGTTTATTTGAGACAGGAGTAGGTTAGTAGTCCGCTGCCTTTATGCTTAATCATAGAGTACTAGTATCTGCAGATTTTTGAACTTCATTACTATACTTGGTGGCTAAAATAATGATTGCTTATTGCTTCAGATCTCACATAAACTACTGTAAGAAATACAAAGATAAAATAATACTTTAAACTTCTGATTATGAGGCACAAACTCTGGACTTTAAGTGCATCAATCTCAGTAATGTTGGGTTGGAGGTGGAAACTATGATTACATTGCCAATAAATAAATACAGGTTATTAAATAAGAATTTTAATTATCTGTCAAGATATCAATATGGCTCTGATCAGCATAGTAATTGAACACCTAACATATAAGTTGCCAAATAAATAAATAAGATAAATTTAGGAGAGATTTTCAAATACACTCAGCCTTAGCCTAAGTCTTCACTTATGGTAGCAAATAACAGTTTCCACTGATTTCTGTGAGAGCTGAGTCAGTCCAACGCTGAGGACTTTTGAAAATCCCACTCAAACCTGTCATCCAAGCATAAATCTATTCCTAGTGTCTGCCATGGAGGTAAAGTTAAGGGGTATCATAAAAGTGATTTACATGTGAGGAGACAGAAGCTCATTAAGGTCCCAATTCAGCAAGGTACTTAAACATGTGAGTAATGCCACTGACGTCAGTGGGACTAGTCACATTCTGCAAGGTTGGGCACATGCTTAACTACCTTGCTGAATGGGGCTTTAATGCAGTTTGTCTTCATCTACTGGTGTTGTTACATCACAGACATACTTTAAGCTCAAAAGTTTGTAAAAGAGGTTTGTTATATGAATGTGTTATCGTATCATTGCCGTCCTTTGCTCCATCGGTTAAATTGTGTTCCAGACAACTGCAGTCAAGATATTTTGCCGTAATAGAAACTACAGTAATGGGGTTTCTCTCTGCCATGTGTTTTTGTTACTGCCTATTGAGTTTGTATCATAGCAATTGTGTAGTCAAAAGGCCCTTTCTAGACATATACAGATGTTACCAAAAAGTGTGATCACCAGACCAAGTGGCCCTCTGAGGATATTTCAGTTACAATGTACCATTTGTACATAAACAGAGCAAAGACTTACAAGGGTGTACATCACTAAATGTTAATTAAGTATAAGTAGTATGTTTTTATCTTTTTAAATGTGAGCACGTTCCCATTCCATTCCATTGTAACTTGTCAAAACTGTGCGTAATTTTTTTTAAGGTCAACAAACTGTAAAGAAAATTGTTGGAATACCTGATTTTCTGTAAAAAAAATAACAATAACAATAATTTTTGTTACTTTAAGGTATGCTTGGTATTAAAGTACCTAATAAAGTTCAACAATGAAGTTTTGTAGCATACTAAAATGAAGTGTGCTAGTGCTTTTATCCAGTTCATCTGTGGGAATGGCTGCTGTTCTTGGAAATGCCTTTCCTCTTTCTAGACATTAACTGTCTTCATTTCTACAAGGTGACAGACAGGCCCCACTACGCAGGTAGAGCTCCAGTGAATCAGTGGTCTCTGCATGGGTGCAGAGGTTGGTCCACATACAGTGTATTTACAGGATCAGAGACCTGGTTGTTAAATGATCTTTATCCTCTTACTGTAAATGTGGTTTTATACAGTACAAAATAATATGGTACACCATCTTTACATAGTAAGAATGAGGTTTTCAAAGCCAACAAGGGGATTAGTAGGCTACATTCCCATTAATTTTAATAGGTATTGGATGTCAGTTACTCCTACACAGGTTTGAAAATATCAGCTTAAGTATGTTTATAGTACAGAAGAAAACTGAGGAATTTTTTTTCTCCAGTTTCAGTTCATCCTTGCACAGACCTCATACAGTCAGCTACAGTTGCAGCAGATGCAAATCACTGCAGAATTTGGCCCAAAGGAAAAACGTGAGCTTTGTTGCCAAGTGTGCACTTACTGCTGCATCGGTCTCTGTACTGCAGTCCCCACATTACCTCACTCAGGACTATAAATTAGGCTGAGTTTGATCCTGAATTGTTCACGACAGTGGCTCAGCTTCTGAGGACCTGCAACACAGTGGTAGGGGCGCAATAGCAGGCCCCGTTTAAATTCAATTGAATCAGGTGGAACTATTAACCACTAGGCTCAGAGGTGCTGCACCCATTTCTCATTCTGGTAGGCCTTCGTTTACAGATTTTAGGGGAGTGAAAAATAGACTTCATAATAAAAATGAGTGTGAACAGAGGGTCCATTGCCACTCTAAAATCTAGACTTTCTGGGGACAGTTCCAACTAGATTACAGCCAGATCAGTCAACCTTTGTGCATAAAGAGTCTCACAATCTCCTTCACTTATTCTGAAAGTCACATTAGTTTCAGTTTGAAACATCCTCCAGCTATTTGGCATGAAACAAGAACTGTCCAATTAAAAAAGGAAGAGCAGGATGAGGGATGACCTGTTCATACAGTTAAGAAGCAGCTTCATGTTGAGTGGTTTCTGAGTGAGCCCATGGAGAGAAACACAGAGCAATTCCTCTGTGCACCAAAATCTATGGTGTTTCAAATACTTTTTTCTTTCTTAAACAGTTTTCACAGAAAAAGACAGTTTTACCCAGGGCTGCCCAATTTATCTGGTCACATGGGCTGGCTCTGGACTGCAATGGATCTCCTGGGCTGGACAACGCACCTCCAGCAGCAGGGTGGTGGCTTGTTGGTGCAGCTGCGAGTGGCGGTGGAGGTGCCACTCCAGAACCAGGGGCTGACCCCTCAGTCCATCGTCACTCTCGCTCCCACTGTTCCCCTGCTGCTGATTTGAATTGCCAGTAGCATCTGAAGAGTTCCAAATTTGGCAGCAGGCAAGGGGTTGTGGGGACAAATGGAAGCAGCATTCACCCTCTAGGAGGGGCAGATTCAGGACTTCCCAAAGTGGGGGTGGGATCAGCACCTGGCACTGCAGGAGTAGCTGTACCCTCCTGCTCTCAGTCTCCTCCTCCTCACAACCATATGGGTGTTGCAGGAGCCTCCTAGGACTTTAAGTCTGTAAATCAGGTGCAAATCCCCATTTTCTTCCCCTTGCTGCTCAGAGCACCCTCCCCTTCCCCCCTCCTCTTCTGCCCCTCTCCTACCTGTCACTGCTGCTTTTCCCACTGTCTTGGGGGGAAGCTCCATATAGGTACTTCTGCCTGCCACAGTCAGGATAAGCAAGGGTTGGGCGCAGCTGAGAATGGAGACTAGGCAGCAGCAACAGGCATGTGCAGGAGGGTTCGCCCTCGTCACACCTGCTTCCAGGGGACCAGGTAAGGAAAAGGGAAATTACTCTCCCACCATGTTTTTGCTGCTTTCCCTGTCCACAGTTGAGCTCAGGACCCATGCAACCCTTCCTTTGCTCCCGGAGCAGTGGGGAACGCAGCCATGGCAAATGGAGGAGGAGCAGCAGGGGGTGGGATGGTTGTGTCTCTACCCACCAAGGAAAAGGAAGTGGGGGTTTTCATCTGCTTTATGGACTTAACAAAATCCCCAGAGGCTCCTGTGGTGTCCAGTCCAAAAAAGGGTGCAGCAATGCCACATCCCCACCCTCTGGAACTACTCCTGCCCCCTAGGTTCCAGAGCTGCATCAATGCACAGACCTGGCAGCCACTCCAACGAGCCCTGTGAGCCACATTTTAACCCCTCACAGATCCCATACAGCACGCCAGTTGAACAGCCCAGGTTTTTACCTATTATGTTATCTGAGAAAAACCTGTGTAGGTTGCCTGGGAAGACGTACCTGCCATTCCAGGTACTGTAATCTGCTTTGCTTCCACAAGCTAAGCCTGTTGGATCTGATTCATACTTTGATGTGAGACCTTCATGGAAATTCTGGAGTGCTACAGAAAGCAGCATTTTGGTTTGTAACTGATGCTTTTCCTGAAAAGCATCACTCAACAAATGTTTCAGCGGAGCATTAGGTCACTATTATGTTGCTGGAAAGCCAAGGTCCTAACCACTTGGAAAGAGGAAATACATCATAACATTTTTTAATGACCCATGCATATCTATTAAATTCCAACTTCATAACAACTGCACCCTGCCTTCCTAAATTCCCCTTGCACTTTAAAATGGATAGTGAATTCTTCTTCACTTCTTTTCCTAGGTGGTTTTATAATGTTGCCATGCACAGCTACATAGCTGCTCCATTTTATCCAAGCAGTAGGTGAAGTGTTCCCCAATACAACAGAGGAATATTTTCAGAGGCCTAAATGACAGTGAGGCACCTAACCCATATTGACTGCCAACAGGTGCTAAATGCCTCACTGCTATTTATGCCACTGGAAATCTGCCCCTGTTATGGTTAATCATGCAAAACTTCAAGGGGGCAGGATCAGCCTTGTAATCTGTGCAAATTATTACAACTGTAGAACAGTATTGAATAAAAGATTTAAAAACCTGACTCTGCTTTTACTAATAGAAACTGGTTTTATTCTAGTATAACTGCACTGATGTTACTTCTGCTTTTCACAGGTGTAAAGTAAGCCAAAATCAGATCCTTATTATTTATCATGAATCAAACCATAAAGCAAAAATTAACAAAAACCCTTTTATGTGGATTATATTATTTCATTCAAACAATGTATTGTTTGACATGATCATCAACTACTTTGAAATATATTTCCATCATGTGCATTT